AGCAAAAACTTTCTTTTTTAGTATATTTTTATACCTTATTGTTAAATAAAAGCTTTTTTTAAAAAATATATTTTTATTATGTAATTTTATTTTCTACGTTTGTCTTTTGAAATTTATGGTTACATTTGGCGACCTTTGTCTTGCCTATGGATCACACCACCCGCCATGACTAGTTCTTTAACAAGTCTACTCAATAGGTCAAAACTATGTTGGTTTGTTTATTTGCCATCATTATGTGTAATTACTAAAATAATAAAGTGTAATAAAAGTTTCTGACAACCGAACCAAATAAATGTGTTAAAAATCCATTCTGACATAGTACATTTTAACTAGCGCTGTCTGGCACAGGATAGAGAAGGTGGAAATCTAAGAATTTCACCCCAACACCTCAGAGATGAGACGTTCCATTAAAAGATCAGGAGTATTGGGAAGATTTTAAAACGTGAGTACAATTGCTGTCGGTATCTCTTGCTTTTATATTGGCATGGCATCTCTCAACGAATTTTTAAAATTAATCAAAGCTTTCGGTGAAGTAATCGCTCCATTTGATGGTTCTTCCGAGAAAGTAAATAGGTTCATTTCGGATTGTGATAATTTTGACGCTGACTCTACCACAACTCTGGTCTACAGAAATTTAAAATTTCGACACACAGTTAGCAAATTAACAGGCAGAGTAGAATCTGCATATTTGGTAGAAAGGTCAAGTGATTGGTCTACTCTAAAAGCTTTAATTACTATACAATTCAAATCTCCAAAAAATACCAATTTGTTATTTAATCAACTAACTTCCTGTGTTAGAAAACCTAATGAATCTGTGGAAGATTTTTACGATAAAATTCAGGTTATTTTAACAAAATTGGAAGGTATTTTTGAAGGTGATCAATTCAAAACGCATTAATGAGTCACTATAAGAAATAGGCACTTAGTATTTTTAAATTATTTGTTGGGGAACCCTATTATTCAGATTTAAAAATAAGAAGGCCAATTTTTGTATTACAGGCACTTAATTACTGTAAAGAATTAGATAATGAAAACAAGAAATTAGAGATTTATAGGCAAATAGCAGGTATTTCCGAAAAGCCACATTCACACACCACCATCACACAAAACCCACAATCACAAACAAACCACTTTCCACCTCGACGAAATTTTAGTCCTATGCAAAGACAATCCTTTACCAACCCTCAAAACTTACAGCAAATTCCTAGACAACAATTTCCCTTATTAAACAGAAGTACTCCCTTCAGACCTTTCATTACACCTAAATCCCACAACAAAAGAGGAATACACATCAAAACAATACTCAAAAACCTTCAAATGCAGGTGACGTTTCCATGAGAACTGTTTCCCAATTTAAAAGACCAAATAACTCTCAAAATCAAAGACCAAATAACTCTCAAAATCAAAGACCTAACAATTTTCAAAATCAGCAACGACCAATTTCCAATTCGAAGAATTAAGAAATGAATAATACAAATTATACATTCCCTTATTACATGAATTTGACGAACTAACATATATCGAATTTTCAGTTTTCGACTTTCATAAAACTTTCGACACATTAATTAGTCATGCTGGCTTAACTAAAATTAATGCAATTATACATTATTCTAACAACGCTTTGACTACTGAACACGCACAAATACATTTTCACGAGACCAGAGATAAAATATTAATAAACATCACTTGCAAAATACCAGTTAATTTACACAAAGGAAGACCATGAACAATATGTACCAGGTACCTACAATACAGACAACGGTTTTGCTGATGTAAAATGTCTCAATAACATTTACATCACTGAGCCTATGGATGTAGATACCCTTCATCAATAGATCTACTCAGACAAAGCCCCAATTGAAGACAATAAAAACTGCGACGAAATTAAACAAATCAGACTGGACCACATGAATAATCAAGAAAAAAATAACATTACAAAACTGTGTAAAGAAGTCAATTCAATTTTTAGCGACGACCAACAAAAATTAACTGCGACTACACAAGTTACGCACCACATCAGGACAACTAACGATTCTCCCGTTTACCAAAAAAAAATTCCGTTACCCCCAAAACTTAAAGACGAAATTCAAAACTAAATCAAAAAATTACTTAATGACGGAGTAATCAAACCCTATATTTCTCCTTACGATTCCCCTGTTGGGATAGTTTCAAAAAAGGTGGATACCTCAGGAAAAAAAATGGCGCATGGTCATTGATTTTCGTGAACTGAATAAAAAAAACCATTGAAGACAAAAACCCTTTACCCCGAATTGAAGACGTTTTACACTATTTAGGAAAATGATCCTATTGTTCTTCTCTAAAAAAAAAGTAATGATCCGGATTAGGGTTCCAGAAAGGAAACAAAGGAGTATTTAAAGGAAGAGACGATCGCTGAGAAAAGTAGAAATAAATTGACCGTTGCAGAAGTGAATCCAGAAATAAATTGACAGTGATAGCAGTGAAATAAATAGCGCAGTGAATAGTGATATATCAACAATAGTGTAAATAAATAGAATACTTCATCACCTAAGTTTAGTAATAATTTAATAGTGTTTTTAAGTTCTTTAATAATTAGTGNGGGCTGAAGGACGAGGGGTTGTCTGAACGCTTTCTGGAGCGGCGGGAGTAGGGAAGGGTTTTTGGATGGTAAGGTTTCCTTAGGTACTGGGACAGCCACGATATGTGACGCGGTGGTTCCCTTTGCAGTTAGCGCCTTACATTCGGCGGTAACATGGTTGCGACCGCAGAAAGAGTAGACCCAGGCTGAAAGAATTTCATACAATGGCGACATTGAGCGAATTCTTTGGTGGCTCCTTTTGGCTCAAATCATAATTAAGACATTTAACAAAATCATAAATAGTTTTATATACAAATGAAATGTAACGTATAAAATTATGTGTGATACCTATGGTATGTACACAGGTCACAACGTATCCATGGGTTAAAAACACTTAATAAACCATAAATTGAATTGATAACCAGTAGTTATTGGGTGTTTTCTAATTACAGAGCACAGACTCAATACCGCATGTTGTGTATTAACGTGTGCATGGAATATTCCGCCGTTTCTAGAACGTTCCAGTACATTCCTCTGGAACTTTCCTTTCCTCCACTCCGAACTTTCTTCATTTGTATATATACGCCCGCTCACCACACTCTCAGTCTTCTCAGTTTTTCTCTCATCGACTCTGTGTCATTATAAATAAATACAGTTGTTCATAACAGTGGTTATTATTTATGTTTACCCCACGATTTAACAGTGGTGTCAGGAATGGGATAAGATAAATAACTTTGTGAAACCGAGTGAACATTCTAACTCCAACGCAAGTGTGTGCACCGAACTAAGTTCATCGCAGTGCGTGTTAGAAAAACTTCTCTCCACTCATCTTCACCATGCCGGACTTAACTTCTGAGCAACTCCAACAATTCTCAATCAACGCCGACGCACTCCGACAGACAACAGGGCCAGCACCGTCGTCATCAGAGCCTCGACCGCCACAATTTTCAATGCAACCGTATCGTGCAACCGACGGGACGACTATAGCCGACTATTTCACTCGATTCACATGGGCGCTCGACCTGAGCAAGGTACCAGCGGATCAACACGCACACTTTACACAGGTCTACATGGGTTCTGAACTCAATGATGCCTCGAAGATCCTAGTGAGTCCCGCTGATCCAAGAACTATGTCATACAACGAGATCCAACATAAACTGGCAGGACACTTCGACGCCACCCGCAACAAGTTTGCTAAAAGCATCAAATTTCGGAGCGTTATGCTCAAACTCTCTGACTCGTACTACTCCTCTCGACAACTATTTATAGAGATTAGCCGTTCCAGAATGTTCCAGTACCTCATAGAAATCTGGTCTTCTTTGGCAGTATGTCAGGTTGCCTACATACATACATGTGACACTGCCCCCCTTCCCAAAACTGATCGTCCCGATCACTGACGTCGCCCCTGTATAGGGAGCAATCCGCACAAAATGGACGATCCTTATTTTTGCTCAAGGTCCTTTCTGAATTTGCTAAACAACGTCGTTAATGCGTCGGGTAGCGTGTATGCACCATCCCAAGCCTGTTGTAGTTTCGGAAAAAGTCCCTTCCATCTTGATAGAGTATCTCTCAGAAGCACCACTTGGTTCCATCTGGATTTTCCCCCGCCGTGGCTCAGGTTAAGGGAAGTCCACTGCACCCAATAATTTTTCGGTGTTTGACTTACACGGCCTACATCTACCCGCGAGGGTCTTGCGGTTCCGGCTTCTTTACATCTCATTATTGAGCCAATATCTTCGTCCTTCCTCTGATCTTTGATTAATGCTCGATACCAAACTCATATTCTTGAAGTCGTTGTAACCATCGTGCCATCTGTCCTGGGTTCTTGGATTGTAGTAGCCACTACATGGAGTTGTGATCCATTCTTAAGAAGAATTTGCGTCCATACATGTACTTGTAGAAATGCTCGAGGGTTTTAACCAATGCCAATAGCTCTCGACGAGTGACACAATAATTTCTTCCTGGCAATAGCTCTCGACGAGTGACGCAATAATTTCGTTCTGGTTTCGAGTGTGTTTTACTAAAGTACTCAATGGCCTTTTCCTCGCCTTCTAGTACTTAGGATAACACACCACCAAGTCCCACATTGCTGGCGTCGGCATCCACGATGAAGGATTCGCTGAACTGTGGGTACGTCAAGATTGGAGCTCGAGAGAGTATAATCTTAAGGTGTTCAAATGCTTTTTGACATTCGGGTGTCCAATGGAATGAAACTCCATCTTCTGAAAATCTATGTAGTGGTCGGGCTATATTGGTAAATCCTCGTATGAATCTTCGGTCGTAGGAGCAAAGTCCCATTATTTTTCTTGGGACTTAGCTTCAGTCTTGCGGCTGACAATTTCTTGAAGACTTCAGTCACGTTTCGGACGTGGTCGTCGAAAGTTCTTCTTAGTATGATGATGTCGTCTAGAATTTTATTCTACCGATAAAGCACTACTATTCGAACACACAGCGAAGTTCTAAAAAGAACCGATTACTTTTATGACGGAAAATACAGAGTTATAGAAAACGATGTAAATACAACAAACAAGAACCATTCAATATCGTCAGAAATATTAATAACACAACCTAAAACCTAACCAAAGTATGACTTCCCACTTCACTTCACACGACGCGTTTTCGTCTTTTGCGCAGATCACGTGATATGTCGTTTTCATTTTAATCTATCTCTAGTATTAAAAGTGCTGGCTTGTACGAGGCATTGCTCTATTTCTTATTCATTGCTATATAAATTGAATTACATTGTAATGTCTTTCAAATAAATACTGATAATTACAATATTTTTTCTAATTTATTTAGGCTGAAGCTGAAGAAAAGGCTACTACTACTTCTCCGGCACCTACGAAGAAAATTCAACTCAGTTACATACAAGAGGAAGTTCCTGACTAATTTTTTTCTCGTTGTATTTTTATTTAAAAAGTTTAAAATATACAAAAGTGTACAAAACTTAGTATGTATACATGTTCAAAATAATTATGTGTTACTTGTTTTGTATATTAGTACTTACAATGGTGTTTATTCAGAGGTACAATTATACTTAGCAATAGACACATCAAATAAAAATTTTTCATTAGTTACTCTCAACTAAAAGAGTCGTTCAAATTTAAATTTAATAGTCTTGTTGGAGAATCGCAATGTCTTCTTTTTGGAATAATAACTCTTAACAAGATACTCATACTCCATAATGAGAAAACAAAAAATAAATACGACACAATCCCATATCCACAAAAATTGAAGACTATGAACCCTAAAGCTAAATATGTTAAAAATTTATGGCTAGCTAGAGGGCGCAAAGTTATCCTAGGAGGCAATGATTCTTGAATTCTAGGTGACAGTCCATCATTGCTTTTTTCATATTTGTAGACTGTAATAGGCGGGCTAACCACTTCGCGACAAATTCTTCCGACAAAGCTTTGGTCATAATACAGTCTATTTATATGGTAATAGAACTGTAACAAAGCAAAGGAAGATGTTAGGTAAATCAGTTACATGTCAAAATGGCGAATATTGACGGCATAAGACACATTAATCTTGTCAAAAAAATCAGCTCAATTAATTTTTTAGTAAACAATATGGATCTTGTGTTAATGTTTAGCAGCGTTACTGAGACGGAGGATATATGATTCATTAAAAATCTTTACAAGCCTGTAATGTGATAATTGTTTTCTATCTTTATATTTATTGAAATTTTAAAGTTACTTTTAACTAATATAAAAACATTACTTATCAGATATCATCTAACTTTATATATTGTAGCAAGGCCAAGAGTAAAAATTTCGGCAAACCAAATATAATTTCCTAAATCTTAATTATCTACTTAAAAGAAAATGTGCTATACTAGGGTAACACCTTGTACAACACACTGCTCACCTCTTCGTTTATTTTTTTCGACAACTGATACAGAATTCTAACTAAAAAGGTATTCTCATTGGATCTAATTGGTTGCAAGTCCGGATCTCCTTCAAAACGCAAATTTTTAACTCTTTCCCTCACTCTTTGCGGCGTCAGTATGTATGGGAAATCGTCTTTATGTATTTGCGATGATAAATCATTTAAATCTGTACTACCATCGTTTGAAATTCCACTTACATTTAACTAAAAGAAAGATTATTAAAGTAAATAACATTACTGAGTTGGTGTCTTTTACATTTCTAATTTGGAAAATATCCACCAAGAATTCTAAGGAATATTTTAAAACAATTGGAACTTTTTCACGTTCTTCTAATGGAAATTCATCATTATTGAAATCGGGTTGTGTAAAGATTATCCGAAGAAAACCAAATATACCCCTCGAAGATTTGCTCTCCTCCTCTTTTCTCAATCTAATAATTGCGTTTGCGGCATGTTGTGCTTTCTGTATGTGCCTTATTAAATCAAATACCTAAAATTACACTGAAGAAAATAATGCGCAGCAAAATTACTTTCTTTACCTCTTGTGCCGGTTGTGTTGTAAATAACGGTTTATAGCAAAAATTAGGACATTCTAACTCAACGATTTTCTGTTTTACTATATTTGACCATTTTCCTCCTATACCTCTATATGTAACAGAAGAATCTATAAATGAACCTGATAAGGAGGCGGCTCCCATATAAGAAAGATTATGCGAATGGTCCTTATTAAAAGATATATTTGGACTTGTATTTGTTGAACACCAACTTGAAGTCGGCGACAATGGGGGAACAGATGAAGGCCATCGCACGTGTGTAGGAGAATTGTTTATATTCTCTAACGCACTTTCTACTTCTCTCAGCATGTCCGCTAACATTGGTTGTCCCATAACCTTAAAATGAACCAAGTATCAAATAAAGTAATATAACTTTAAATTATATTTTTTGGCTTTATTTGGTACTTTTAGAAAAACAATATTGCCGTCAGTAACACGCTTATAAGCTAATTTAGAATAAAATTCAAAAACATAGCAAATTAGACCTATTTACGAAAATCACGGCACGTTGGAGTAATGCTTAAAAAGCACTTACACACATATGTACTTACGATTAGCCTAGGAGGATTTAGCGCATGAGCGCCAAAATTACTCGGACGCTTTTTTTTGTTAGAATCCTTTAAACATATGCCAAACAATACACATAGTTCGTGAGACAAAGCCCCTATTTTTAAATGATTAATACATACTTAAAACTTCGTGAGTGGCTTTCTTTTTGGCGAATCTATCACACTTTTTCTCTACGACTTTTTTCGAAACTTCTGTTTTTTCAAATGAGCGTGATCAAAATATGCCGAATACGTGAGTTTTACTTATTTCATGAATACATATTTAGTTTTAATGTATTCCCAAGATAATTTAATAAGATTGTGCAGGTGCAAATGATAAAATGACAGAGCCCTTTGTCTTCCGTACTAATAAATAGGTAAATGCTATTTAACATGAGCTAATACGGTCCCATATTGTTTAAACAAATGCTAAAAATGTTAATTTTTAAACAGAACATATTTTTATGTTTTTAATGATGTTGATATTTTTGAAAACCCGAATTCTTATTTTGACATTTTGACGAATTTTAACTGCTTATAAAGTCATAAAAATAACTGATGTGATCTTAAACAATGTTTTATGTTCTTTATAAATGATTTATGGCGCTTATTTTTTACTTGTAGACTGTTTTTGGAAAATGATCTTGTTCCAGAATCCTCCATAGTAACAAAATCTATTATTAATAACTATACTTCACTTAAAAATACGTTTTTTAATCACTTAAATTATTAAATACAAATAAATTAGAAGTTTATTATGTATTTATTTATTTTGGNTGTTTGAATGGGACATTTATTATTTGTGGTCAGATTTACTTGAAACTCTCTTTGGTCTAATTAATCAAATGAAAAGAGATTGCAACGTTTCCATGATATATTTTATTTGTAGTCCGATTTACTCGAAGGGTGCTCTTAATACTCATTATTAAAATTAAGTAAATTATTTGAGTTGACCACCCCTGTTTCAGATCATTCGTTTAAAACTTTTGTTTCATTCCCACCAGCCAGTAATGCTGGTGGGCGGGCAGTCCTTCCGGACTACGCGGGAAGGTAGTACGGAAAACCCTTTTCAGTCTCTGTTCAGATATCGTGGGAATGGGTGGGTTGTGGTTCCGATGAGAAAGAAAGAAACTTGGACCAAGGAAGTCGGACTCGGAATCGAACCGGCGTCCTCCCTAATGATAAGCAATGGTCAAAACTCTAAGCCGTGCCGCTCGGTGATCATTCGTTTCTAATACACAACCCGACTTAAAATCGTAAAAACAGATGACTGCTCTTTCAGAAAGTCCCCGTATTAACGTATCTACCTATAAAATATGGAGCTTCAGTTTCCATTCTCATGGCCACATTTTATCTTATCCATTTATGATAGCTTATTTTCATGTTTCTTATGTTTTCTTAAAAATAACCCACGACACGACGTGCTTGTAAATTTACAAGGCAGTGATTGTAAATTTCAAATAACGGGGATTCTAATTACAAGATAATTATGACACGTTAAGGCTGATAACTTTTCACATTTTAAGCGGTTGCTACCATTGTATAGTGCACAGATTAAATGGGAGACAAAAGGTAAACAAGTCACATTAAAGATCACTTCTGCTTGTTAAGCACAATTATCACAGATACTACGTGTAATATTACTACGTACAATTAGTCACTAAAAATTTCAATATTGATGGGAGTATTAGAATTAACCGAAACTTGTCCAAAATGTATATAAATCGTAAAGCAAAATAAATTATATTATTTTCTTCTTCTTTTTGCATAGAACACAACATAATCTAATCTTGTTTTGAAAATGCGGTAGTTGTATGGGAGATGATCTTTAAAACGATAAATATTTTTCATAATGCCGATTCTATTTTCAGAAAATGTTGAAAAATGAAAATATTGCTGAAATATTTGTCGTATGTATACGGACTTTCACCCTAACGTGTTTGGACAGCCTAGAGAACTAGGAACAGGAGGTTGATGCAAACAGTGAAGGTGTCCTATTCTTTTTAAATTACGTCATAGAGATAGTGTACAAAAATGTATTACACCTCGGTATACTTAACTGAATTCATCAACAAAAGGGATGGTAGATAGGGTTGTAGTAGACAAAAATTATTGCAAAAAAATACTGTTATCGGTAATATAAAAATTTCGTGGAAATGTCGAACTCAACTCTTAATATTACTGTCTGACCCTTTGGGAAGGGGGACAGCTACGGTTCCAACGAGGTTTGTCACCCTGCCCTGTGTAGACCCAATCATTCTGCGATGTCACGGTGTATAACGCCTTACCTCTTCCGCGCATCACCATGTAGGTTACCTTAGAAAATATAATCTCTATCCGCATCAAACAATTTTAGGAAATTTTCCAACATGACCCACTAACTTATAAACACAGGTTTATTCCTCTGTTTGATGTTTGTTTAATCGAAGCACCTCATGGGGGTCCTAACGAGGAATCTATGGGGAAATTTCTCTTCAAATATGTTAGGCAACTACAGGCATTAACGATATAGTTACACAACTGAGATACCCGAAATTTTTATTTTGTATTTTGATTTATTCAAAACTCGTCCCACAAAAATCTGTCATTCTTTTCAACTTTGCGTAACACTTCCACCAAATTGAATAAAAATTTTGTTCTGTTTAAGTTAAGCAATTAAATTTCAAACGAAGATAAATTAGCAGCAACCACAATTAGAGGCTCCTCGATTTAAAATTTAAATTAGTCTATCGATTAAAACGCGAACAATAATCACTTATTAACTTTGTTAGTTCGCTTAATGAGATGTACAAAAAGTGTGTTGACATTGATTTGCTTAACGAACCGTTGTCCAATTGTTTGATTATTAAGTTAAAAATCAGAATCAGTTCGAATCGAACGCGATCGACGTCTCCCAGTTGTCCTCGATCTAAGCTAATTCATTTTCACTTCAATTTCAACCGATACACAGAACAAAAAATGATGAAAAAAATTTACAGCAAATATCTTCAAATCGGTAAAATGCTGTAAAATGTAAACTGCTAATTTTCAATTAACAATTACCTATCTACTTTTCCAATGGCATTAAGATACCTAACAGGTATGAAATGGACATACTTGTCGCTGTCATCGCATATAAAAAATGAAATAGGGAAAAAATTGTCCGTTTTTTCAGTTTCAAATTGTATCTCATCATTAATAATAATCATTTAAAATAAAGTCTGAGGGCAAGAAAATGAACGACTTTTGCGGTTTTTAGTTTTTCTATAGCTTAACGATTATACTGTAGCAAGCACGAGTGTGTTTGTGTGCGTACGGGCACACGTATGCGTGAATGCGGCTTAACGATTGCTTCATTATTTGTAAATGTGTGTGTCGCACCTGCGTACTGGGAAAGCAATTAAACAGTTCAAAGAAAAAATAAACTATCCGGATGTTTCCAGGAAGTCAACAAATGAGTATTTAAAGGAAGAAGTGAATCGAGAAATAAATTGACAGTGTAAGCAGTGAAATAAATAGCGCAGTGAATAGTGATATATCAACAGTAGTGTAAATAAATAGAATACTTCATAACCTAAGTTTAGTAATAATTTAATAGTGTTTTTAAGTTCTTTAATAATTAGCGTAAATAAATAGTTTTTGTCGTTATCAGTCTTAGAAGTAAATTTTGTTCAAAGACAAATCCGAATTTTTAAGAAAAGAAGCTTCCTTTTTGGGACATGTAATCACCACCGAAGGAATCAAACTTAACCCCGACAAAATTACTTCCATCAACAAATATCCAATCCCAAGAACGGTAAAAAAACTTAAATCATTTTTAGCCTTAAGCGGCTACTACTGTAAATTTATAAAAAATTACTCCAAAACTATCATTCCCCTTACGAGGTGTTTAAAGAAAAATACTTAATTAACATCAAAAACCCCCCGTATTTAGAAGCTATAACAAAATAAAGAACTAATTACAAAGACCCCTGTTTTAGCATATGCAACCTTTAACAAACATTTTTCTATTACCACAGACGCTAGTAATAAAGTTTTTTTAGGCTTTTTTCTCTTTATCCTTAATACGGATGAAAGAAATTACAGTACCACAGAAAAAGAATTATTAGCTGTAGTAGAATCTTGTAAAAAAGCCTTACATTTATGGTAGAAAATTCACCTTTTTCGCAGATCACATGCCCCTAGTTTAGTTGAAATACATGAAAGTAAAAGAAGACACTTTGTTGCACAATGACGAAGACATTCCTGATCACTCTTCTCCACAATCCGGCACAAACCGAGACTAAACAACATTACCTTTTATCCGAAAATTTCGGCAGTACCTACCCTCGTATTTTCCCATTATCATTACTGTACTTACGCTCTTAATTTTACACTCTCATTTCTAATATTTAAATAACAATATTCAAGAAATTTGTGATTTGCATTTCATGCTTCGAATACTCTTCAAAAAGGAATAAATGTACTACAAATACAACTATTTGCAACTTTTGAAGAGATCAATTACTTTTGCCCGTGAAAATTTCTAAATCATGAAACCACTTTTATCTACAGATAAATAAGAGCCATTAAATTGATTGAAATTCAATAAACCTATCCAAATTAAACAAAATTCACCCCTTAATATAACTTTCATCGTACACATAATAATAATCTCCAACTTGAGACAAAAGTCAGAGATTTATTCAAGTCTCCAACCATTTACTGTACATTATTACGAAGAAATGAAAACTACAAAACGAAATCTTATTGATGACCACTACCAAACGAATGAAATGCAAATAACAAGGACTACCATGATGGCTACTAAATGGTCCTCAAACTCTGCAACTACCACCAAGACCACCAAAACACTCTAACACTGCTGCAGAAGAAAGAAGAGACTGAAGTCCATCTACAGCAGTCGATCTTTGCATCTTATGCCACCATTACCACCCTCTAGTTAGTGCTACTATTCAAGAAAAATCAACCCGAAAAGGATAAACAATCTGGCAAATAACTTAAAGTGTTGAAGATATCTCCAGCACCCCTTTGCCCTTTAATCGTTTGAAGGCGAGGTCATTTGTCTTAAGGAAAGAGGAGTTTCATCAGATGACCTTCGCCTCTACCTATGGATCACACCACCGGCCATTACACTTCTGATTAGTTTATAAGCTCATACATTTTACAGCTCATTAACAGTCTATACTATACGTCGAATCTATGTTAGTTTGATCATTTGCCATCATTGTATGTAATTATTAAAATAATAAAGTGTAATAAAGTTTCGTCATAACCGAACCAAATTAATGTTTTTTTAAAGAAACCCATTCAGACATCGTACGTTTTAACTCTATTTATCATTGGTTTTAAGGTATTTAAAACTCGTTAGGATCATTTTTACATAAATTTTACTACTTATTAGAAATTATTAAACCAACGAATATAGAGAAAATGTCCCGCTCAAAAATAGCATTTTTTAAAAATTGAGACCACGTCAACTCATGTCAAACATCATTTTTATATTAGTTTTAGGCAATCATGTGCCGATCTCTCTTAACTCTAGTCATAGTAAATCACAATTCCTTTTTGCAAGAAAATAAAAAAAATACCTTTAACATTCGATACAGCATAAGGGCGATTTTAGGACTCGATAGGTCTACTTTTGTAAACCTTGGTAAAAGCTGTTGAAAAATGACAACATATGCCAAAATATTTTCCACAATAAAAGGTAAATATTCCTTATCCGCTAGCTTTGAAGGTCGTGATAATCCATCTGCATCATGTTGCTTAGTTAAACCCCTAAAACATTTACTAAATGAATATTGGATTCTATAACTGACATTTGACTTACATCAATTCTAATTGCTCGTTTCCTGGATATCTCCACGGTTGAATAAAACTTAGCCACAATTCCAATACAAGTCTGAAGGAGTCGTCTAAAGGCCATCGATAAATTAAATTGCGTAGAAAAATATACATTTTGCCTTGCATATATGGAACAGCAATTTTTTTCAATTCGTTCATATAAGTATCATCTATTTTTGCACTTGATGAAAACGCGTGCAATTTTTTAACGAGTACCCTGACTATTCTAATATACTCAGCACTAGGAAGATCATGAAAATGGAACTGTTGCTAAAAATTTATAGAATAGAAATTTGTACATTTTATTCCAATAGGTTCAGAATTTCAAAAGGTAAAATCATTAAAACTCTTCAAATTGTTTGCACTAACGTTTTTATTATAGAAC